GTATAATGATCATTCAAATTCAAAGAATTGCACTGAATTTTTGTCTGTCCCATGTCCAGTTTTGGAGGAGAAAAATGAATCAGATACAGAAAAATTATCAATGCAGGGAGGAAAATGCACTTTAAATGCATAAAAAAGCTTAATGTAGGAATAGAATTTCCCTTCTTTTCCCTGTGCCTGTCACTGTTTCTTATTGAAGATTTTTTTTCTCATGTAGTGACTTCTTAGCACAGAATATCTAGGCTGGCAAAGCACGTTTCATTTTCAGAATTGTTTTTGTGATTTGCAAACCAAACTATAAACCAAATTTTGCATCTAAACTATAAGCAGTGCCTATACTGTGTTATTGCAAATAGTATCTTATATTTGAGTAATTTTTGCTTAACTCTGTTACTTGCTGACTTTTACAGATAATACCCAAGAGTTGTAACAGAAAAAGCTTAGAGAAAAATGTTACTTTTTAATGTGTATATATGTATTTTGATTTGTTTCCAAACAAATTAGGGTAATTACTTTGAGCTTTGATTTTTCTGGAGCTGTTTGGTTTTTTTATCTGGGAGAATGAATCACACACACAGAAAGTGCATAACTGTATATGAAAGGGGGGGGAGTGTGTGTACATATATGCATGCATAGAAGTTGTGGATGCTGACTTGATTGCAAAGAAATGAGTTGTTCTGTGCTCTCAGAAGCTTTGAAATAGCGATGCGTCTCCGTTTAAGGCTCAGGGCAAGCCCAGGGAGCAGAATTTTCTCTCTATTGTCCCCTACCCTCCCAGGGGAGGATTAAAAAAAAAAAAGGGAATAGGGAAAAAGATGCTTTGCACAAGGTTGGAAGGTAAGACTGTAACAAGTTTAATGAAAAACAACAGGGGAAAGGAAGAGGGAATTAATTAGGGACAAAAGATATTGAACTATATACAAAACCCGATCCCAGTAGTCCCGAGTGGAAGTGTCCGAGCAGTGCCTCGTGGCTGCTGCGACTGCTGTGACTCATCACCAGGGACTGCAGTGGTGCTGGGAGCGGATGGTGGTGGATGCTGCCGAGCACGTGGGGGTAGCCCCGGCCGTCCCAAGATGCGAGAGGAAGCAGCCCAGGAAACCAGGAAAAGCCCGCGAAAACCTCGGGCCTCCTCGGTTTTTTATAGTCTGGGGCCAGAAAGGGGAGGGAACAGTACTGATCTGGGACCCCCCAGCGTCCTACAGACACCACCTGTCCTTCCCTGTCAGGCTGTTAACCCTTAAACCATAACACGATGTCCCTTTCAGGACTTTCCAGCGAGTTATCCAGGGAAGGATGGTTTGAAGACTAGATGGTGGATGACACACTTCTTGATGTACTGCTGGTTAGCAGAGCTCAATATCAGTGTTTGCCGTTGCTGTAATGCACGGTAGAAGTAACAATGTCCCCATCGAGTGCGTGTAGGACCTCTGCCGTCAATAATTCTGTAGTACAAGTTCAGACCTCTATCGGGGGCGCTCACAGAGGATTGAGATGGTCAAAACCATCAGCTTTGCTGTCCGTAAATGCAGTTTTGTTCTTCTTTTGATTTTATGCGTATTTCTATCTAGGGAAAGGGATGGTTTCCATTTCTGTGTACTGTTTGTATTTCTTAGAACACTCTTTTAAAAGTGAATGCTTCTACATGAATATTTAATGAAAGTAAAAAAAGAAAAAGTAGTAGTTTACTTGCCATCTGTTTTGCAAGACAGAACAATGTCCCTGCAGTGATTATAGTGCTTTTACTTTCTCGAGTGTTAGTGACCAGTAAATGCCTTTAAGTGCTTAGAGTGTTAGAAGAATTTATCACTTTAAGGTCATAGTTTTATCAGGCAATCTTAATGATACTTTTTTTTTTTTAAAGTTACTCAAATTTCACTGTTCAAACCTGTTTGTCCCTACCATATGAGAGGAATAAAGCATGAATTTTTGACTCCTGAAGCAAGGTCAGCAGAGATGCTCATGAATGTGACACTTTGAAGTACACTGGTAATTCAGGTGTTCCTGGTTGAAATTCAGGAGCTCTGTGGCTCCTGCAGTAGCTTCACAGCTACTTTTGATGCTTTTCATGGAGGATCCCCTTGTTGACTGTGTCACTGTGTTGTGTTGTGCTGGATTTGGGCTTGTGACTGAGATGAAACCCATGAAGAGGTGTGAAGAGCCTGATCACAAGACTTGGTTGCTCTCTGGACTGACACCCCCTGCGCAGGGTGCCAGATTGTGGCCGCTGCAGCTCGCTGGCCTTTGTGCTGGGCTGATTTCCTGCCATGTGGTCTGGTCCTTCTGTGAGTCAAGTTGCCACAGGGGAGTGAACTCTCTTAATCCCAATTTGGGGACTCGGTGAGCCCTGTCCCTTCTAACCTCAAAGGCCTCACCTAATGCTTCTTTCTGAGTTTGTCTCATTGCTGTTGAATTTCTTGGGAAGATGAACTGTTTCCCTCTCGGATACCAAAGCTGTTGTGAAGGAGTGGGTGGGTAAGAACATATAAAACATCTCTGATGGGACTTAGGCTCTAAAGTCACCTATTCCATTTTATGGGACTACTGCTGTTGGTAGGCCTTAGAGTTTGTGTCGATTTAAAAGTAGTTTATTCTCCCTCACCAAGTGTACTGAGGAAGCTGATTGTGCTGCTCACATCACTCTGTGCAAACCTCGCCCTAAGTGGCTTTATTTGACGTTGTGGAAGCACAGCTTGGTTGTTTGATGCCTTGCACTGTGAGGGATTCACCTCACTCATTATTCTGATGTTTAGTAACAAGGAATATATTTTATGAATACACGGTGTATTTCTGGGGTTAGTGATTAGACCACTCCAGAGCTACTTGTAACTGTTAGGAACAATTTCTCCATCCGACTTGTCTGTTTCCAAAGCGGTGCCTGTTGAGTGTACTGGGAGCACTGGAGTTCATGAGGCAAGAGTGATTTGCTTCTGCTGCAAGAGGAAGCACGTTTTGGGATGGAGTGAAACCCATCTAGGGGTGCCCATCTCCCTCCTTCCCTCCAGCCCTCCCCACTCATATAGGAAACAGAAGAAGGTTCCCAGGAGATGGTCCTCTACCGCTCTTTCATTGATTGTTCACCACTGGTGACCTGTGTGTTGGAAGATGTTCTTGCTAGCTCTGGGTTCAGTTGTGAGCTGGAAATCATTCATGAGCCAGCACTGTGCCCACGTGGCCAGAAAAGCCAATGGCATCTTGGCCTGTATTAAAAACAGTGTGACCAGCAGGTCCAGGGAGGTGATTATCCCCCTGTACTTGGCACTGGTGAGGCCGCACCTCGAGTACTGTGTTCAGTTCTGGGCCCCTCACTATAAGAAGGACGTTGAGATTCTGGAGCGTGTTCAGAGAAGAGCCACAAGGATGGTGAGGGGTCTGGAGAACAAGCCTTATGAGGAGCGGCTAAGGGAACTGGGCTTGTTTGGCCTGGAGAAGAGAAGGCTGAGGGGAGACCTCATCACCACCTACAACTACCTAAAGGGAGGTTGTAGAGAGGTGGGTGCTGGTCTCTTCTCCCAGGTGATGGAGGATAGAACAAGGGGTAACGGCACCAAGCTGTGCCAAGGGAGGTTCAGGTTAGAGATAAGGAGGAAGTTTTTTACTGAGAGGGTGGTTAGAAGCTGGAACAGGCTGCCCAGGGAGGTGGTGGAGTCGCCATCCCTGGTTGTATTTAAAGAGCGGGTAGACGAGGTACTTAAGGATATGGTTTAGGGAGTAGACAGGAACGGTTGGACATGATGATCTCAGAGGTCTTTTCCAACCGAGCGATTCTGTGATTCTGTGAAAATAGGTGTATTTTCTCAGATTGCCTGGCGAGAGATGAACCTGATGAGCAGGTACTCTCCTTCCTCCTCCACTTCTCTCCTCCTCCCTATATTGCACTGCTTTTGGGGAGAAGAGCTGAATGAAATACAAAGTCAATTCTGAGTTACTCAGCTAGGTAGAAAGAGACCTGATTTCCAAATACTTTTCAACATATTTAGATCATTGATGGCTGCTGAAGTCAGTGGTGCTGATTGCATGAGGAAAGTCCATGAAGACATTTCCCAAAGTATCTCTGTGATGAGAACAGCAGGAAGAGAAAATGTAGTAGATGTAATTCTCTGTAGAAAAAGTGTAAATAGGAAAAAACTTGGAAACAGAAGCCAGATTTTTACTTCAAGATTTGCCTTTTTATCGTTTTGAATTTTTTTTGAAATGAATCATAAAAGTCTTAAGTTTTTAAACAAGGAAGTCAAACGTGTTTGCTTCATTTTTGCTGGATCTCAATGACAGTAAACAAGACATACACAGAGGACTCAGCTTATTTGTGGAAATACAGCTTGATGTAAGAGGCCCAGAAGACAATTTTATTGTCTAACTTCAGTAGGTAAATGTGTTATGTTGGAGATACTTGAAAAAAAGTATTTGTTTTCACATATAAATATCTCTGATTACTTTCTGTCAATCTGAAATAGTGTGCTAGTTCTTATTTGGGACCTGTCAAGTTGAATAATATTTTCAAATTACCTGGCTTTAGCATGAGGGAGGCTGGTTCTGCTCTCATGAGTGTATGTTACAGGTGGAGAGACTTGGACTTCTCCCTTCCTTTGTTTTCCCTCCCTGCGTACTTTCTGCCAGCACAGATTGTGGGTGTGTATTGATCAAATTAGGAGAGGTTCAGGTTTTAGTTGGTTCTTCAGGACAGTCCTAGGACATAGTCTGTTTTTCTGATGGGCAGAGTCTGATAAAGATCAGTCCAAGGACAGGTGAGTTCTAGTCTAGGATCAGGAAGGGGAGCAGGGAGCAGGAGGAGGAAATGAGATGGTGAAAAAGCACAAAATGACTCTGCCGTGATAGCTGTGTATGGGGATGTGAATCAGTTTTGCATGTTGAAATGTCTTGAAAGATACTGGGATAACTTCTTGCAGTAGCAAGTTACTAAATGTAATGAGGCAATAATTTCAGTGTAGATGCAGTACAGCTGTTGACAATTTTTTCCCCTTTTTTTTTCCCTTCTGCAGATATTCCTGAAATACCAGAAAGCATCTCATTCTGCAGAGCACTACAGGTAGCAGATTTCAGTGGGAATCCACTGACTAGGTAACTTCCACCTTCTTCTTAGTACTTGCCATACCAGAATTGCAATTGTGCTGTAACAATTACAATTTTAAATAAGCCTTTAAAAATTGTGATCTAGGATCTCTATGAAATCTTGCCAGCAGTGTCTCTCTGGCAGAGACTGCAGGAAAAGTTCAGATTTAAAAAGTGATGTGCATCTTTCCTGGGAGGGGATGATATTTGTTAGCCAACCAGGAAAAATGTAAATCTGATTGTCTTTTAAGTAATTTTCATTCCTCTCCTTAAATGCATAGGAAACCCATGCTCATACGTGGGAGAGATAAGGCAATGGTTAGCACAAATGCATTGACACAGGCCCAGGTGCCTGACGATTTGGAATAAACTTTAGATCAGCTGCTGCAGATAATGGCTTTTACTAATGATTAAAGCTTGGGCTGGCATTTCATCACCCTCCCATCAATTGGGACGCAGTGACATGCAGTAACATGTGGCAAAAATGCACTGCATGTGTCAGTGGCTGCTATGGCTGCTGTAGCTCTGCGTTCTGATGAGCTGGAGTTTGGGATTACGCACATTTTTAGCACAGAATATAAGTTTTGTTTACATTGGTCTGTTCCGTTTGCTGAAGAATTTGGAATTTAGTGAAGTGAGGCTGGAGATAGCAAGGAAGAGGTGATCTGCTAGTTAAGACCTTTGAATACCATTTGGAGAACTGTTTCCTAACCCAACCTGTGCCACAGAGCTCCTTTGTGATGCTGAGCAAGTCACATAAGTCAGAGTATTCACAGTGGGCACTCCCAGACCTGCTTTGCTTTGCACTGAGGTGGGCTGGGAATACTTGCAGGATTAGCTGGCTGGCTGAGGTGCAGGCGTGCTAACAAACAGGAGAGTGTCTGTAGTATCTTAAGCTGCTCTGGTGGTTTTGCATGGCGGCTTCTCCCACGTGTGCAGCTGGGATTCTTCTGAAGTGCGCTCTGAATATTGCCCATAGTGTGTTCCAAGTTCTCTGGAAAGTCACATCTCTGGGCATTAAAGGGACACTTGTGATCTTAATCCCTGTGCCTCTGTTGCCCATTTATGTAGTGAGGATAATAATACCACAAAAATCCGGTAAAGCAAACTGAGGCTGAGCTGTGTTTAGATACACAAGTGGTGAGGGTCACTGAAAAGGTTTTTCCCAGGCATCAGAGTGCAGTACATAAAGCTCAGAGCTGCATCTCGTGGTATTGAAATAAAAATTATCAGTAGTAATGTGCTAGTTATCCTTCTCCATTTTAAGTGCTGAATAAAGCCTGGGGCCCAAATAATGTGTTTCTTTAAACAGTAGCTATAATGCACAGCTACAGCTGAGTGGAATTAACAGGAGAGTTGAAAGGTGCTTTAATGGGATTGAAATAGAGCTCATGACTATTTGTTGACAGTTTGAGGGAATTTTAAGAATTCTTGATAAAGTGGCTCCAAAGTGTACACATGTCCTGCAAAACATCACTTTAAGAGGTTTACTAAGTTAGAAAACACAGATACCAGAAGCTGTTTGCACACTGTTGCCAGGTATTTTCTGTGATGAGATCCAGAATTTCAGTTTTACCTATATAACAGCATGTAGATTTTTGGCAATGTTTTGCCCAGGCAATGTGGAAAAATAGTTATTTCCTTTTCTGTGTAATATCCTGTAATTTTTTTGTTTTCGCCATTGATTCTTGTCCTTCTTTCCTCTGAGCTTAAAAGCCAGTTGGAGATCTTCCCAATCAATGTGCTACCACTAATACAGTATGATGCTTCATTGTCAAACTTAATCATTGATGAACCTGCAGCATTATAACTGGTTGCCAGACCATTGTTACAGTTGTTTTCAGATGATTTCAGGTTTATATTAATAAAAATCAGGCATATTTATTGTAGATTAGACTGGAAGTCCACTATATGCTATACATATGATAGGATAGAGTTGTTCCAGTTGGGAGACACCTACAACAATTATCTAGTCCAACTGCCTCACCACTTTAGGGCTGACCAAAAGATAATCAGACTATTTAACTACAGTCTTGAACCTGTTAGAGCCTAAATGGTAATGAATAGTTACAGCGGAGCTCACATTGAAGATTTTGAGCATGTTCTGTTAATAAGGTCCAGAAAATGACAAACAGTGCAGTATGGAGTTGCACATGTAAAAAGACCTCCCTCCACCCCCATTATAATTTGTCTTTTTCCCTTTCCCCATCATACACGGTTGTATTTGCCTGTAGGTGTGCATCTCCTTTTGGCTAGTTGCCTGCAGGTCAAACCATGTGCCTTGAGCTGGGTGATGGAGAGGGCAGGAACCAAACCAAATGCCACAGCTTGAGTTTAGGTTGAATCTTAGGGTTCAGCAGAAGTTGGCTTCTCCTCCTCTACCTCACAGCCCCTTTTACCCCACCCTGTCTCTTGTGCAGCTGCAAACTGAGCTGCTTGGTGCAACCTGGGTGTCAGCGGGCAGTGAGTGGTACAGGAATCCTGTGTGAGGGAAGGGTAAGCCAAGCTTTGCAGAAGACCGACCAGGTGATGGACCTAAAGGTTTCGGGAACTTTGAGAGTGTTTTGCATATGACTGCATTTTATAGTGTAGAGAAGGGAGGGATTACATGCTGTTGTGCTGTGAACCAGTAAATGTGAAATGCTGTAGCAGCGGAACATTGTTTTCATAGTGAACAGACTGTTTCTTCAGAAAGCAGCAATATGAAAGGCCATGCTGTAAGTGTGTATGTAGCTGAAGCCTGAATAAAAGTAATTACTTTAATTTTACCATCTAGGTGATACAGGAAAATAATAGTAAAAAAAGACTTTTTTAATAGGTTTGATTTTTTTTTTATTATTTGTTAAAATGCGTAAAATGTTCTCAAGCATTTTTTAATTTTTGTATTTTTTAAAGTTACAAACTGGGGACAGGGAAGAGAGAGGCTAGGAGACAGGGCTATTACCTGTTCTTTGACACAGAAGAAACTTTAAAGTCTCTAAGTCATGTTTATAATTTTTTTTCCTACTACGATCCTTAGAATTTTGTGAGAGTCACACTGGAGTCTGGTCATGCCTCCCTTTGTGTGTATTTGCTAAATAGACTGTTGTTTTCTACAACGTGTTCTCTTTTCCGGTACGTATTAATGAATGTGAATACTTCTGCTGGAAGTCCTTGATTTGAATTAATTATCTCCATAGGTTGCCCGAAAGCTTTCCTGAATTACAGAATCTAACGTGTCTTTCAGTAAATGACATCTCTCTGCAAGCACTACCTGAAAACATTGGGAAGTAAGTATTTTATACTTTATTAGTATCTTAATTTATTTTCTCCTTATTATTGTGCCTATTTTATAAATCACTTGCATAATTGTATGTATTATACTCTAAACTTATTTACAGGTCTGCGCTTATCTTTTGTATTCTCTCCAGTCTGAGGGATCTGTTTAAGAAAAATCCCTTTGCATGTTCACTGGACATTAGCAGTCTCATGCAGAATCTGAAGCACGTGTGCGTGTGTTTCGGCTCTTCTCCGGGATTTGGAGTACCTTGGAATTCTAGGTGGAAAATTAAGCACATGTTTTGTGGTGCAGATCTGACCTTTTGCTTTCCTTCATTGTAGTAGACCATTGATCCATTATTGCAAACATGTCAGATGGCTTGCTACTCAGCTCCAAACCAGCCAATTGTTGGCACAGGGACAGATGGGTAAAAGCTGGCTGTGATCAGCATGGAAATTAGAAGGTTCCTAAGTACAGGAGCAGTCTGGTTCTGAAATAAACTCAAATGGGAGCTGTGGAGATGAAAACTCATGGAGCAGCTCTAAAGATGAAATTTTATAAGCTTTTAAGATGTGTTTGTTAGCTCTGGAAAGTAGAGCAGGATTGCAAGGACAGACTTCCAAGGTGGAGACACATGGAAAATAAAGTGAATTTTGTTTATCTGCCTCATTTGGACTGAAATGAACATCCACACTTGCAGAAGGGAAATCTCGCTCCTCTTAGTGGAGAGAAGGGTATCCCTTCCAATTTGAAGGAGAAGAGGTAATTCCATGTCTCCTCACTCAAATATGTGAGAACGGCTGTGCTGGTTCAGATCAAGGGCTCATCTGGCCCAGCTTCTTCTGCAGTTGCAGTAAGTAGATGCCTAGTGAGGATTAGGAAGAAAAGTGTGTCTTTGATTACGCCTCTTTCCATCCCCTGACTGTGTTTGGTTCAGTGGATTTCCTGAGTTTTGGATTTTGGTTTGTATAATTGGTAACCCATAATGAATTTCTCTTCTACATATTTATCCAGTTTTCCCTTGAGCTTATGTAGACATCTTTAGTATTGTCCTCTGACAAGTAGCTGCTCAGGTCTATAACCCATTGCAATGACTTGTTGTTTGGTTTTGGGTTTTTTTTTTTGAGCCTGGCTCTACCTTGCTTGCCTATGATCCCTGATATTGGAAGAGGCAGCGAGCAGCTGATCCCTACGCACTTAATCTGCCATCAATACCTTTGTAGTTTTTTGCTGTATGCCCAGGTGCTTTTTTCCAGGCTGAAGAGTCTAACTTGCTGTTCTAGCTTCAGGAATAGTCTTCACAGAACTTTAAGATATCAGTGCTTTAACTCAGAAAATTTATAGTTTGTTACTTCTGTTGGGAAACATACCATTTCAGAGAATTTGAAATTTCTTGTAGCACCTGATTGTTCTCTGTCTCCTCCCCTCATTATTATTATTAGTTTTTTAATCTGCATCTCTCTTTATTGCCCATATTGTTGTTCTAAGTTGCCATGTGCTGGATCACTTACATCTTTCTTCAGAAAGTTACAGTAACTCAGATGTTGAGTCATGAATATCAGTAGAGGCCTATTAATCTTGGACGTCCTTTCGTAAAGTGAGGTATTTCTAACACAGACTCTTTGGGGAGTCAGTGTAGTTCCTACCAATAAAACCCAACAATTTCTAAACAGAGGAGTTCTCCAGAAGCGATTTTGTTATTAAGCTTCTGCAATGTAGTCAAGTTCAGACCAGCATTGCTTTAGCCACTTCCCATGGATGGGTCTGACAGCTGTCAGCTGGCACTGCTCCAGCAGCAACAGAAGTGGAAAATGTCTTCTGAAACCTTCCACAAGCACTAACAGGTACAGCTAATGTGTGCCCAGTGACTATGGCAAAGACTTACCTAAAACTTGCATGAGCTGGGGCTTTTGTAACAGTCTTCCTTTTCTGTTAAGTTCACAAAACTTTTATTGCAGCTTTTCACAGCACTGGCAGCTCAGAACTGGCTTGTTCACACTTTGCAGTTTCTGAAACGCAAAAAAATTTGGGATCCTGCCTGATTTTGAAAATGAATACAAGAAACATGACAAGCCAAAACGTTTCCCAAAGCATGAGGTGGGCTGCTTGTTGTGCAGACAGTATCTGGAGGGAGGTTGCTGGCTTCCCTGAGAGGGCACTGCCTCCGGTGGCCCTGGCTTCGTGCTTGTCCTGCTGTTATTTGGTAGTGTGAGTGGTGATAGCCTCTGCTTTGGATCAAATTATTAGAAGCAACTTTGGTCAAAATGGAGTTACCACACATTTGCAGAGATGTCAGTATTTGGAGCTGTGCAAGGATAAGGGTAAAAAATTGCCTATTATTGATCCTGCACTTCAGTTGCATTAGTAGAAATTTCTGCTGTCAGATTTATGCTTAAAAAAAGCAGAGACAAATGTGTGGGGCTGTTGTCCTTGGTTAATGAGTTATTCACGATAAGTGGGACTATGGCAGTTGGGAAGCCGACAGTAAGCTTGGGCTAAAGACGCATGCTTTCCAACTCAGAAGAATATTAACGTAACATGAGGGGAAACTCATGGGGTGTCCACCCAAAATGTAACTTTTCCTAAAGTGTGTTGGGGACTATTTTAGAGATGGAGAGAAGGGAATTTTGTCTGGTACCAGTTGGAAATTATTGAGAGGTCTTCTGTGTGGACAATTAGAACTGCAACCTGAAGTCCTTGTGGGTCACTTATCTCTAAGAGTGAATTTTACCAAATTTTTAGCATTAGATCTGTAAGCAATAGACTTATTTTTTTTCAGTCTGGCTACCAACAAGTGCAGCTTTCGTTTTTTAGTTCAGAAAATTCTGATCATTTATTGCAAGTGAGTTTGGTGCAGCTGACTGCCTTGTGTTTGGTAAAAGCCTTGAAATGCTCTGTGGCTTTTCTAGAGGTTGCCTACTTGTGCTCTGTGTTGGGGCTTTGAGCAACCTGGTCTAGTGGACGGTGTCCCTGTCTTTGGCAGTGGGACTGGACTATATGATCTGTGAAGGTCCCATCCAACCCAAACCATTATACATGATATGATTCCCCTCTCTGTTCTTTTCCCTGTGTGCTTGCTGGGATCCAAAAAATGCTAGAAATAGGAAAGAAAATGGTGCTCATTGTGTCTTTCTGACTGAAGAGGCCAAGGCAGGCTCCTAGAGGTGTTTGAATGTGTTTGCAAATACCTTGCTGGAGCTTCTGTGTGTTTTGGATAATAATCCATGGTGTTATTTGATAGAGTAGGCTGGACCTATGTGCTCTGTACGAGATCTGTCAAATAGGGAACAAACACATATACACTGGTGATTTTTTCTACTACGGTTGAGCTTGCTTTGGGAAAAACTTGAAGTCCCTGTACTTCTGGCCGCTATGTGTGGAAACTTAGGGAAATAAATCCTAAATCCTTACTGTCTTATACTCTTGTCTGGGAGTACTAATACATCCAGTGAAGTCTCTAATTCATCTTCATGTAGTACAGTGATCAGTATGTACTCAATGTCTCTTTTTTTTTTTCCTTGTTAAACTACCTACTTCAAATCTTATGGCACTGCCAATCTGCCCTACTGTTTTGAACAGGGAAAGCAACAAAAGTAATGGAAAATATTTTCCAAACAGCAATACTTTGAAGGTTATTTTGGAAGTTCTTCCTGGTGGCAAATTATAGACATGAATTCCCTTGCAGTGAACCATTAGTGGAAGTGTATTTTCCTCATGAATCCTGATATCCAGTCCACTTTTCACATGGTCTGATGTACAAGATGAATGCCAATGTTGAGGTTCCCTGTCTCAGGCTAGTGTCTGAACTTGTTCAAGCTATTGATATGTGGAGTTACTGTCAATATTTTTACTGTGCCATTAAGAATTCTTCTGTGTAGAACTTTTATATTTTTCTTTCCCTTTGTGTTGCCAAAAGGAATTTTTTTAACATCCTAACTGGACGTTTGAAGAATGTAGGCAAGGCCTCCCTTGAACCTTTTGTCTTTCCTCTTGGCCTGTGCATAGACATGCTCGGTCTATGTCAACTTTTCTTTGTCTGTGTGACCAATCTGCTTATCCAGTGTTGGTACACGTGCTGAAAGTTTTCCCTTATTAGATTAAACATTCCTGTTTTAAGCTCATGTGTTGTTTTAGGGCATACTAGAAAGATGTGTGACACGCTGCTTTAGGACTTGATAACAGAGCAGATGTTATTTTTTGTGTTCCTCTGTGATTTGTGTTCTCTTAACTCGTGGTGTGGTTGCGATCTGGAGTAAAACAGTGAATGCTAATGCATGCAAGATATTTTCACTAGTAATTAGGTGGGTGTAGCTTGGAGCAGGAGTTGTCCTGTTGGCTAGTTGAACCTTTTGGAGAAACAAGTTACACAATTTAAGCTGTGAGTGGGAGTGTCTTTTACATCATTTCTCATTCTAATGAGAGCAAGTCTGTTTTTTGTGCCTATTCTGCAGGTCCGTGTGTGTCTGTGGAGCTGCCCAACGAGCAAGCATAACCTGTTCCTACCAGCATGGGTAGTATTTAGGAATTTTCACTTGCTTCCAGGATTTTCCTTCAATACTTCCTTATTAATGTAACACCCAGAACACAGGGCATGACTTTTTCCTGAAATTCAAAAATCAGAGTATTTCTATTCAAGGGTATTAGGGTAAATCAGGGTGTTTGTGAGGCTTCCTAGGGCATACCTTACAAGTAGTGTGAATAATCTAATGTCTGTTTGTCTCCAGCACCCTCTGTGTCCAGATGTGTTCATTCTGTAGCATTGGCTTCAGGGTTAGTTCACCACCACCATGACCAGCCCACTGTGATACTGGCTTTTTACCATTAAAGGTTTGGGAACTTAAAGATGCATACAGTGCTCTCATGGCTTAACGTTTAGAAAGAGAAGAGAGGTTGTGTCAGCTTTGTATGTTTGTTTGTTTATTTGTGGTTTTTAGGCCCGAAGGAAGTCCAGGTGCCTTCTCTGGAAAGCCTTTAATGTGCATCTCTGATGTTTAATCTAGCATCAGTCTC